ATAAAAGACAGGGCTCGCACACACAGGCAACAGGGCGGCGCTGGGCTTGCATAAGTCGCACACACACACGCACGCGCACACACACTCACATACACCTGTCTCTTATACACATCTAGATGTGTTTTTTGTCCTTGGCGAGTGCATTGAAGCGCGTCGCCAGGGGCATGGAAAGGCCTGTTGGCAGCTTGGGGCGGGTGGCAGTGACAACAGATGAAGGGTGGGTGCTCATGCGCGGGCTGGAATGCTGCAGTCGCACGTGTCACCGTCGACGATGCCGCCAGCCAAAGAAGCGGCGTTGTGGCCGGTCCATCTGCTCCGTCTACGTCAGGCGTTTGCATCTTGTCCCTCATAAAGGTCGTCCGCTTCTGGCATCTCGATTATAGAAGCCCGCCACGCCTACTGCACAGCGAGCGCAACCACGCGGGACATCCTCCAACTTTTGGCCTTCTCGCCACGAACCTCTATCGCCTGCTCGCCCCGAATATTTCTCGCCTCCTCGCCAGGTACTTCTTCAGTGCTGTCGAGGATCACAAACGTCGCTCTTCTCACCTTATCGTCACGTGGATATTCGGTGCCGTCACTCTCCTCGCATTGGCGCCGCGGAGCTCTGTCGCCACGTGGATGTTCGACGAGTGAGGTCTTTGGGGCACTCTACGGCAGAGCACTCTCGCCTTATCGGTGCGGATCTGTCTTGCCGCGTGGAGGTTCGGCGGCGTCGCTCTTCTCTTCTTCTCGCCGGCGTGGAGCAATCTCGCCAGGGTCATTGTCCTCCTCTCGTACACGTGGACGTCGTGCTCATCTGTGCGCCGAGGAAAAATCTTCTTCGTCGTCGCAGACGCAGTCCTCGCCACGCGCGATCCGTACGTGAGACGCTGTTCTTGCCAGATCGGTTGGGCTTCCATCGGCGCTCGACCTTCTATTCCTGCTCATCTGATCCGACCACCAAACTCGCTTGTAGAGGGAAGCACGAAGCATGTCTACGCGAGCCGGCGCCCGTGGTAAGAAGCGGGACATCGTCCCTGAGGACACTCAAGGGCGGGAAAGGGGTCGGCGACATGTCCCCAAGGCGAAGAGGGTTCATTCGGATGATGCTGCAGGAAGCGTGCCTCCTCGTCAACCGCAAGGTTGGGCGACAGCAGTGGAAGGCGACGACGACGACGTCTTCACGACGGAGGAAGAAGCAGCGGAGGAGACCGTGTATGCAGTGCGGAAGAGTGGTCACCAGTGCTCTTTTGATCACAGCGCTGCGAGGAGGAGGTTGATGCCTCCAACCGAGGCGCCGCATGTGCATGCCCGCGAAACACAGTCAGAGAAGGAGGACGTTGTCAATCTCCGCGGTGAAGATGACGAGCCGTTCGAATGACGTCGCCAGCGCAATGTCACACAAGCGACCACAACGACACCAGTGAGGGCACGCGGCGCGACTGACGAAAGACCACCTCAGGGTAGACTGCCTGCCACGCCGTCTCAGCCACGTCCGCGCACTCCAGCTGATGAGGGAGGCTCCATCGAACGCAGCGACGGGGGGGAAGTCCTGGCAGACGTGCGCGCAGTTGGGGGCGAGGTAGTTGCTGTTGGTGGTGCGGGAACTTTAGGCAATGTGGGCCCCGTATCGAGGGCCAAAGAGGAGCTTCCAGTTCTTGAGCGGGAGGTGGTGCATGGCGAGAACAGAGCTGATCGAGAGGATGATAACCCCCTTTTAAGCCGGGTGCGAAGGGGAGGCATGACGATAGATCTGATTGACCGTGCCAGACTGTGCGTTGATGACAAAGCTTTCTGGAGGACGGGGGAGGGGCGAAGACTGTATAACATCGTCCACGAAATGGGAGAGTATTTTGTTGCCATCGCCAGCGGTCTTCAAGCGTCTGTCGTCCCTCGGAGCGTCGTCATGCTGAAATCCAGCACGAAGCTAACCAGGATAACCGATCCCGCACAACTGCATAAACGATCTCCCGTGCGGCGACAATGGAGAATATTGCTCTGCGCATCTTGCACGGCTGGGTCTTCAAGTCCGGGAACCGCCCTAGAGGTTACAGTCTGACTTTCCAGTAGGCACTGGAGTCCGTGGCGACAGACATTGCGCGGGCTATGTGGTACGACGAGGAGTGGAGTAACGTCGTCAGTACGGCCGTTTGCGTGCACACAATAGACCTGTCTATGAACTTGCCACAGTGGTTCGCGGGTGCCAGCATCGAGGACACGCCTGAGGATGACGACATGGCGGCGTACCAGGAGTCCACCATGATATGCATAGCGCATGGATTCCGCGCCGCGGTGCAAATGGGTGCGAACGTCGACAGCGGGTTCATCTCACACGACCGTCTTTCGCGGGTTGCTGACTGCTTCCGGCTTTTGTTGACGGCCAGCATGTGGTATATGCGCATGGCGACAGACGATCTGCGCAGCCACTATGAAGCTTTTTACTTCGCGAAGCTGGTGGCGAAGCCCACGCTCATCACGTCCATGCATCACTCCTTCGAACATCGACGATCAGTCATCCGCGCCACACATGTCGTGACAGAGAGGCTTGGGAATGTGAACTCTACCTTGCGAGAGTATCTGAAATACATGCCTGAATGGGCATCATGCGGCATCGTTTTCGGGCACGACGTGAGCATAACTGGGCTGGAGGATGCGAAGAGGCTGGATTGGTTGGGTTCGAGCCCCCTGGAGGAGGAGAACGATGACGCTGGAAAAGATGACGCGTAGGGGGGCAGGGTTGGTGAGACGTACGACGCGGGAAAGGGTAGTGGAAGGGGGGGCAACTCTGGCGCTCGAAGATTTGTGGCCGCGCTTATACACGTTGGTGGTCGTGACAGGCTTGTCGTTGGTTGGACATTTGTACAGTGTGTCACTCCTGCGAGTGGACGAGCGTCGTTGGTTGTGCACATGTTTAGTGTGTCGCTCCTGTGAGTTGACGAGTGACGTTTCAAGGCGTTCACTTCGGCAGGGGGGGGGTAATTGATTTCAATCGTCGTGTTTTACGTTGTTATCATCGCAACTTGCTGGGAAAGAACATAATTGCACTTGGAGCGCACCCTTTTTTTAATCATGCGTCCGTTGTTTTCGTGACTTCGCTGGCATGAGTGATTCAGAGTGAATGATGATTTCGATGTTTGCATGCACACATTTCATGTTTTTTTTTTTTTTCTGATGTGATTGTTATTCGTTTGGTTGGTTTCTGCACTTTTCCTAATGGCACCAACTACTGTGTTTGATTTTGGTTTTACAACAGAAAAATTCCCGCGAGAAATGAAAGTTGAAAAAACATTCCATTAAAAAAAAAACCTTCATATTTATAAATTATCATTCCAATGTTTGTCAAATTCTAAAATTTCAAGTTTTATTTGATAAGTTCCCGTCTAAATATGAGTTTTCCCTTCCAACTACATCTATTTGTACAAGATGGAATGAAAGTCTTGACGAGTTTATGAAATGTTTTAATTAAACTTTCATTTTACTACAACAAATACCTTCTAATTTAGATTGCATTAACCTATTTATGACTGGAAATCCTTACTTAGAATGACAGTCCAATTAAAATATTTCATGAACTCATCCAAACTTTTATTCCATCTCTAGCATGCAGTTCAAATACGAAGGGATATCCCATTCTTGAAAGAAAAGTTATCAAGTAAGATGAAAAAATTTAAAATTGGAATGACATTTTTTAAGATGGAATGAACATTTGAAATTTAGAATGTTATTTTACTATAGAATAAATATTTAATTCTGGAAATTTTTTCTGTTGTAACAATCGAATCAAGACAATGCACATAATGCCGATGAGCACACAACGTCCAAGAGCACTTGTTGTGAAAATGCAATGACACATTTTATCTTCTTTTTGATTATTCATCGCATTGAAATAACAATAGACACAAAAACAACACATAATAACAACAGACAAAAGAACAACACATCACCCCTCGCCATTGCTACCCTCAATCGACGATTTTAATATCGCACGGAAAATAAAAAATCGAGCACTATTTGTTCAAAAAGACATCATAATTTAACGCAAGGCGAACAAGTTTCAGCCCCTCCCACATGATCCACCTTGCACTCTCCTCACCACGTCCGTCAGGTGTCATAAAAAACGGTGCACATGACACCCGTAGTGCGCCGTGTCCCCACCACACAACCAAAACGCCCATTGTTCGGTTGTCTGAACAATTGTCGTGCACACCCACACACTGCGACGCTTACGAACCACAACCTTGAACACTAACTACCAAACCCAAGGCGCGCATAAACACTTCATTCAAAGCAGGACGAAATGTCGAATCTGCCCTCCCGCCAAAGCTGCAATGACTACACTTCCACGGACGACCGTTCATCATTCGGGACGACTCAATCGTGTTTTATTCGTTCCGCTATAGCATCCTGCAGGGCCAATGCTTCGTCTATCGACGTAATCATCAACACAGGCTGAAGGAGCTCTTCGATCCGCAGGTCCACACGTCGTCGCACACCATTAGCGTCGACCTCCCGTAGCAGATTCTCGACGAATGAAATTCTAGTGTCGATTACTATGTTGTGCAATATACAAACGACGGTGAACTGCTGCGGGAGCGTGTTCAGGTCCGTCTTGTACGTCCGTAGAAACAGCCACCACATGCCCTTCAGCCTGCCGAACGCCCTCTCCACCGCTCCCCTCGCCACCGTCTGCTTGTTGTCAAACCGCTCCTCGTCGACGTGCTGATTGACGCCTCCATAGGGGACGACCATGCATTCCGAAGGGGGGTAGTCATTGTCCGCCAGGACGTAGCTGTTCGTCCGCGCCCCGAACGGGAGTGTCACAGGAGGACCACGGAATAACGACCCCGACTCCGCGCGGTGCCATACGCTGGGCAACTGGAGCACCCTGATGTCGTGGCAGCTACCCGGGTATCCCATGTGCACATTGAGCACATGCAAGTCTAGGTCGACGACAACCTGCGCGACAATGGAGAAACGACGCTTCCTGTCGTAATAGTTTTCGCTCGGGGCATTCGTCGACTTGTCCACGTAGATGTGAGTACAGCCAATGCAACCGTGGCAATTGGGGAACCCTTTATCAGCGAACGCCCGCCAAACGACGAGTTTACGAACTCCAGCCGGCCAGACAATCTTCTTTCCGTACACCTGGAGCAGCGCGGCAATAACATCGCGGACGACAACCAGGCCAGAAACTCTGCCAATCTCGAAGTTGCACATGCTGCTCTCGCCCCGACGCCCAACTGTACATTGCGTACGCCACAATCTGGTCTGGCTGCAAAAACTCTTTGTAGAACGTCACCCGCCGCTGAAGATGAGGCGCACATGCCTCCATGATTTCCCGGAACACTCGCAGCGACATGCGTAGCTTCTCCCGAAAGTAGTCGTCTGTCGAGTCGTCGCATTGCCGGAGGTCTTCCCACGTGCCTCCAGTCATGCGCTTCATCCACCACCTCGGTGTCGCTCGAGGAATCACTCGGCAGCCCAACACGTAGCACAACTGAACAACAATCTCTGAGGTCGCCACGTAGTCGGGGCCATCATCTGGAGCTTGCATCAATGTCCTCCTTCTATGTGCGTGTAACTGCTCCTTCATTCGTCCCAACGCCCTCTCCTGCTGACATCGAAGAACAACGGTAGGCACGACCTGCAACTCAAGTGGCGTCAACACCGCATGTCCATCCTCTCCGCCGCCCTCCATATCCGCGACCTGGAGACGGACCCTTCGCTCCGCTGCCGTGTGTGTCGTCCTTCCACATCCGACGAAGAAGCCGAAGTCGTGTGTCGACAACTGGCCCCTTTTCTCTGGATGCAGTCCTGCCGACGAAAATGTGTTTGATGGTGCAGTCGACGTGGAAGAAGGTCGACGGCGATGGACGCACCTGACGATGCCTTCACACTCACAATGGCCGGGGGACGGAAGGGATGCCGCCGCTGAGCCCGTTTCAGCAATACACCGTCTTCGCGCCGCCGGCCGCACGTCGTCGTCGTTGTCGCAGCCGTCATTCAAAATTCGAATTTCAAACGTCGACGCCCCCAGGTTAATTTTTTTCCCGTCGTCCGCCTTATGTGGTTTCCTGCCACACGTCGCTAGACCACGCCACCTCCACACGGACAAAAGATGGTGGACCACAGACAACTGACCCCGCGGCCACTAATTTCCGTATGAAAACGCCCGCGGGCACGCCACAAGGAAACATCCTTGGGGGGGTTCCCCAAGGATGAGTGGAACGACGCCACAAATTTCCCTGTGGCTCAAGAAACTCGCAAGGAGTGTCTAACGACGCCCTCAATGAGAGTTCTGCTTTATCGACAAGGGTTCAAATTGTTGTTGTTGGTTGCAGATTGT